CAGTTTGTAGTTACTGTTTTTGTCCACAATCTAGAACTTGTTAGTATAATCCTACCATCTATTGTTACGAAGATAATATGATGATGAAATAGTAAATTTGACAATCATTTTAACAACGCTCAGCGTTTATGAATATGCGTTCTTTGTAAATATGGGCATTAGAGATAATATATAAACAAGGTACCGATATCAACAAAATTCAAATTAGACAAATTGGATCTTGAAAAGATGTAAAAAAAAAGCACTGGTATATTATGTCAATACAAGCATTACAGCTAAGGGGAGCAAATTGCAAGCACTCATTAAAACATTCCTCGTGGGGATTTTAAAATTGGGTAAATAGTGTAGATACTGTACCGTAACACATTTACATACACAGGCTGTGCATACTAGGTCACTTCTATATTAATACTTTATATGGTTTAATAATGTTGTCTCTTGTTTTAAATAAATAGTCCGATTTGGACAAGTGATGTAATAGTTTACCTGCCCCACACCCGGGTAAAGTATACCTCCTATGCAATCCTTTATGGTCAGGATATTAACGAAAATTAAAAAAAAAATCACAGTTTTCCCTACTGCAGGTATACTTTGCCGAGCAAAATCATGTAGGCCCTAGTGCTGTGGTTCCCTGTTTACATATATTCAATTCACACTGGGCCTCGGCCCTGTCAACTAAATATACTGGACCTGACCCCCATGGTTCAACAGGCCTTAAACAATGCTCCTAGGGTCCATGTATTATGATACATACAGGTTACTTCTTAACAGTTGACCGCAGGATATAGGTTTGGTGATTCCTTTCAATGCTGAGAGTACTTTAGTATCTCAGTTTCACGGATTTAAAAGTTTATCGATTGAGATTGTGCTTTCAAACGCCACGGTACGGGAAACTCAATGCGGGAACAGTAAGTCTCAGCAGGATTAGTGTCAGATGAGAGACATAAACATCGCTGCTGAGTCGAACTAGACAACACTTCATCCTGCGTCAACAATCACAACACTTGGTGACACAACTTAAAAATATCAGGTGTCAAAGTGTTTAGGTAGGGTTTGTTAGTGTGAACACTCGCTGTTTAAGAAAGTAAGCATACGTGACCTATAACTCTGGGCAAACCGGTGGATCAATACTAGTGATAACTTTATACACCAACATATCTCCATTCAAAATCTAGAGTTCACAATTTATTTTATATCACACCGCGGCCTGATTCCCACCAAGGCAGGGTTGGCCCGAAAAAGAAAATAACTTTCACCATCATTCACACACATCACTGTCTTGGCCAGAAAGGGTGCGTTTAACACTAACAGTTTATTTAAACTGCAAACATATAAACACCTAACAACCCCTCCTTCAGAGTGGCAGCACTGTTACTTCCCATCGTCCAGGACTCAAGTCCGGGCCCTGCTCGGTTTTTTCCCTGAAACCCTTCATAAATGGTTATACTTTGCTCACCACTGGTCCAACAGCAACCACGACAAGTATGAAAAAACCATTTGTACTCCATTCACTCCTATCAACCCCTCACAGGGCATGTCTGCTGGAAGTCCAAGCCCCTCGCACAACAAAACCAGAGAAAAGAGATAGGATGGAGAGTGAGTAGAGGAATATCCTTTAGACCCCCTGTCCCCTCCAGACCTCTTCCTAGGCCAACACCTACCCCGCCTTCCTCCACTACAGACTGATACACATCTATGAAGTCATTCTGTTCCGCATCGCTCCATTCTCACTACATGTCGCGAACCCACCTCAAACAACCCCTCACTCAGACCCCTTGGCCCAAACCAGTTTTGGTAACCCCGCACCCCTCTTAACACTTCCAAACTACGAATTCTCTGCATTGAAAATCACCATGGCCTGACACTTGCCCCAACATGACATCGACCTGCCTCGCAGCCTTCTCCTCGCTGGCAGTAGAATCATTCACCAATTCACAACGCACGCTATCACCACCCATATAAGAGCTTGCGTAAAAACTATACTCGCTCATACAATGGCCCCTCTTTGCCTCCAAGGACAAAGTTCTTTGTCCCCACAGACACCTTAAGTGCACAACTCACATCTTTTTTTTCCCTACATCAAATCCTATGATTCAACCTCATCTTGTCAATACCCAATGGCCGCTGACACGTCCGAACCCAAATGATTATCTGAATAAGTTCACCTCCTCTCATACTCTCTCCCTCAATCTGATATTCAATCATTTCATCACCAAAATCTTTTTGTTATCCTCATAACCCTTTACTCTTTCCTGTATCACCTTTAATTTTCTTCTATTTGCGCCACACTAACCAAATTCATCCACCAATCACTGCAACTTCTCTTCACTAATCCCCAAGCACGCACATGTCATCGGCAAGAGCAGCATGTGACAACTCCCAATCTTCGTGTGTGATTCTTTATCTTTTTAACTCCACGCCTCTTGCCGAAGACCCCCCCCCCACTCGCATTTAGCATTCTGCTTAAAACCACCATTCATAAATACTATTAAACAGACCAGGTGAACATCACACATCCTTGTCTAAGGCCTACTTTTACAGGAAAAAATTTGCCCTCTTTTCCCTACATACTCTAACTTGAGCCCACTATCCATGCTTAAGAAAAACTCTTCACTGCGTTTCATTAACCAACCTCCTACACACATGGACAACTTTCGAACATCTTGCCACATTGCCCCCCTACCACCCGGTCCATACGCCATTTCCAAATCCAAAATGCCACAAAGATCCTCTTTGCCTTATCTAAAATACTGTTCACTTATATGTTTCACTGTAAAAGCATACCTGTATCCACACACCCCCTCCTTTCCCTAAAGCCCCTTTGTTCACGTGCTATCCTATTCTCCGTCTACTCATAATTCTTTCAATTATTAACTCTACATAACGCACTTTACCAGGTACACTCACAGACTTATCCCACCTATAATTTTTGCACTCTCTTATATCCCCTTTGCCTTTTGAATACAAATGAACTATGCATGCTCTCTGCCAATCCCTAGTACCTTACCCTCTTCCATACATGTATTAAATATTGCACCAACCCACTGTTCCAAAACTATAGTCCCCACCTGCTTTAACATTTTCTATCTTTTAATCCCATCAAATCCCCTGTGCTGCCTAAACCCCCTTTCATTTTACCTACTGCCAGTCACGAACTTCCCACCCACACAACACAACTGGCGTCTTCCTCACGATCCAACAGAGATAGTTATTCCTTCCTTGCCCTAATACCACGAAATCACAGCTCGACTATCCTTCATTCAACATTTAACAATTCCTCAAAATATTCCTTCCAATCTTCCAAAAACCTCTCACCTCTCCATTTATTAACTCTCACGACTCCGTATTTTTAACTGACAAATCCATTTCTTGTGTCTCTAGGACATGTCTTACACTTTTTAATCTCACTTGCTCCAAAACTTTTCTATTTTCAACAAAATTTTGTTGATAACAACTCACCCACACTCACATTTGCTCTCTTTTACATTGCTCACCATCTCTCCTTGAACTTTCTCATCTTTGTTCTCCATATACTCTTCCCCTTGCATCACTTCTACTTTGTAAAACTATACTCATATGCTAACTTTTACTCTCCCTTACTACTTCTGCTTTACAAATTCATCATTCCACCAATCGATACCTCTTCCCTCCGCACCCGCACTTTCCTGTTAACCACTAAGGAATAAAAAAAAAACCTTCTCTGCTGAAACACTCTAACACTACATTTTTAAAACCTACCCCAATAACTCTTCTTCGACGCCCATTGCCTAAGTGCTCTCGATTATCCGCATCTATCCATCCAATACTGTTTATATCTTACCCTATACTGCCTCCTCTTTTAGTATTTATAAACCTTCACCTCTCTCTTGCCCTGGATGCTCTATTCCCTTAGTATGCCCATCTATACCTTTTTACTCTCAGTGTAGCTACAACTAAGAAACGTGAGAGCAGATATATCTGTTGCCCCTCTAAAACATGTACATCCTGAAGTCTACTCAACAGTCTTTACTACCAATTAGCCTAATCCAACAAACTACTGTCATTTCGCCCTACAACATATCGTGTATACTTATTTATCCTCTTTTTCTTAAAATAAGTATTAACCTATAACTAAACCCTTTCTATACAAAGTTCAATCAAAGGGCTCCCATTATCATTTACACCTGGCACCCCAAACTTACCTACCACACCCTCTCTAAAAGTTTCTCCTACTTTAGCATTCAAGTCCCTACCACAATTACTCTCTCACTTGGTTCAAAGGCTCCTATACATTCACTTAACATCTCCCCAAATCTCTCTCTCTCCTCTGCATTCCTCTCTTCTCCAGGTGCATACACGCTTATTATGACCCACTTCTCGCATCCAACCTTTACTTTAATCCACATAATTCTGAATTTACACATTCATTATTTCTCTTTTCTCCTTCCATAACTGATCATTTAACATTACTGCTACCCCTTCCTTTGCTCTAACTCTCTCAGATACTCCAGATTTAATCCCATTTATTTCCCCCCACTGAAACTCTCCTACCCCCTTCAGCTTTGTTTCGCTTAGGGCCAGGACATCCAACTTTTTTCATTCATAACATCAGCAATCATCTGTTTCTTGTCATCCGCACTACATCCACGCACAATATCTTCAGCATTTTTTTTTTTAAAGGACATCTCTCTGCTGGCAATTATTTACGTGGAACAACACAACTTTAGGGTAAAAAAATTAAAAGGTGGAAAACGGCCAAAAGTTTCTCCTTTGAAAGAAAGATAAAAGGAATATTTTAGAAAAGTGAAGAGTGAAAGTGAGTAGCATCATCATCAGCCACACTAGCAAACACTTTTCTCTTGACAAAGACCCTTCACTCCTCCCTCGCTCCCGCCGATAACCTGGTTATCTGCGCGTCTTCAGCGCTGTGGCCGTGGCCCTGGTGACCAGCATGGCCATGAAGGCCACCACTACGAGAGGAGCGTGCCTATAAGAAAGAAAGGATACGTGTAAAGACTCACGGTTCTAATTCCCGAGGCTAGGACGGTACCTCCGCCTGTCGATCGTGACGCCATGTTTACTACTAACTAACCTTCACGGCCCCGGCGCCGCCTCTCACCATCACTAACTAACTCTCACGTATCTTAAGATTTTTCTTAGTGCCCGCTGAATACAAATTGATTTGTGGAATGACGATTTCATCAGTGGTGATTATCTGTGCGTGTGAATCTCTCTATTTTTTGCTTTTAAAAGCTTGTGTTGGACACTTTCTCTAGGACAATCTTTGTAGACTACTAAAAAATACTCGTAGTTCTGTTAGCCAATGCCATTTAGAGGTCCTTCTTAGTCACGTAGGCAATACTGTATATTGATTTTCAGGGCCGGAATCAGAATTACTCATCTGATGGGCTGGAAGCTGAGCTTCTTCACATATATATGCTCATGTCTGAGCGTAGTTATGTTACTCAGATGAGAGGGATCCCCACAGAGGTGCGGCTAAGCACTGCGTAATGTCTTACATATCCTCCCCCGCCCACATAATTATACACTACAAAAATCTACGTCATCCAATACTTCTAAAATATCTCATTTATTTAAAACATCAACAATACTAATTTATAAAGGCAGTTAATACTTGTTACATCATGCTGCTTAATACCCGGTAATATTTTAATGCAGAATACCTCTATATAATAAACATTTGGATTAATAAGTGTATATAGTTTTTAAAAATGTCAAGAAAATCACTCAAGAAATCTTCCATTACTGAAGGTAATGTAGAAAACTTTATAAGATATTCTCTTAAAAACCGGAACTATGACCCGCCCAAGATTTCATTATATCCATTTTATATATATTTTTTTCGTTAAACGAAGCTAAGAGTATCCATACTGATGATATATGGAAACGTAGTGACTAAACAACAGACATTCCCGTCGTTAAATGCAAATGGGATTAATGACGTGGAGAAAAATTTCAATGTGGGAAGACTTGTGTATTTTGTGTTTATATGCTGGGGTAGTCCCAGTGACCCCCCGCCCCTGGGGTCCAGGGACTCAATAGTTCATTGTTCAACCGTCTGTCTACTGTCCCCTGCACCTGTCTACTGTCCCCTGCACCTGTCTACTGTCCCCTGCACCTGTCTACTGTCCCCTGCACCTGTCTACTGTCCCCTGCACCTGTCTACTGTCCCCTGCACCTGTCTACTGTCCCCTGCACCTGTCTACTGTCCCCTGCACCTGTCTACTGTCCCCTGCACCTGTCTACTGATCCCTGCACCTGTCTACTGTCCCCTGCACCTGTCTACTGTTCCCTGCACCTGTCTACTGATCCCTGCACCTGTCTACTGTCCCCTGCACCTGTCTACTGTCCCCTGCACCTGTCTACTGTCCCCTGCACCTGTCTACTGATCCCTGCACCTGTCTACTGTCCCCTGCACCTGTCTACTGATCCCTGCACCTGTCTACTGTCCCCTGCACCTGTCTACTGTTCCCTGCACCTGTCTACTGTCCCCTGCACCTCTCTACTGTCCCCTGCACCTGTCTACTGTCCCCTGCACCTGTCTACTGTCCCCTGCACCTGTCTACTGTCCCCTGCACCTGTCTACTGTCCCCCTGCACCTGTCTACTGTCCCCTGCACCTGTCTACTGTCCCCTGCACCTGTCTACTGATCCCTGCACCTGTCTACTGTCCCCTGCACCTGTCTACTGTTCCCTGCACCTGTCTACTGTTCCCTGCACCTGTCTACTATCCCTGCACCTGTCTACTGTTTCCTGCACCTGTCTACTGTCCCCTGCACCTGTCTACTGTTCCTGCACCTGTCTACTGTCTCCTGCACTTGTCTACTGTCCCTGCACCTGTCTACTGTCCCCTGCACCTGTCTACTGTTCCCTGCACCTATCTACTGTCCCCTGCACCTGTCTACTGTTCCCTGCACCTGTCTACTGTCACCTGCACCTGTCTACTGTCTCCTGCACCTGTCTACTGTCCCCTGAACCTGTCTACTGTTCCCTGAACCTGTCTACTGTCCCCTGCGCCTGTCTGTCCCCTGTACCTGTCTACTGCCCCCTGCACCTGTCTACTGTCTCCTGCACCTGTCTATTGTTCCCTGCACCTGTCTACTGTCCCCTGTACCTGTCTACTGTTCCCTTGCACCTGTCTACTGTTCCCTGCACCTGTCTACTGTTCCCTGCACCTGTCTACTGTTCCCTGCACCTGTCTACTGTTCCCTGCACCTGTCTACTGTCCCCTGCACCTGTCTAATGTTCTCTGCACCTGTCTACTGCTCCCTGCACCTGTCTACTGTCCCTGTACCTGTCTACTGTTCCCTGCACCTATCTACTGTCCCCTGCACCTGTCTACTGTTCCCTACACCTGTCTATTGTCCCTGCACCTGTCTACTATCCCCTGCATTTGTCTACTGTCTCCTGCACCTGTCTACTGTCCCTGCACCTGTCTACTGTCCCCTGCACTTGTCTACTGTCCCCTGCACTTGTCTACTGTCCCCTACCCTAACTATTAGTATACAACACTCCCCTACCCTGAATGCCTCCCGTTCCTTCCCCACATGCGCTGTATAATCCTACGGGTTTAGCGCTCCCCATGAGTATAATAATACTGTCCCCTGCACCTGTCTACTGTCCCCTGCACCTGTCTACTGTCTCCTGCACCTGTCTACTGTTCCCTGCACCTGTTTATTGTTCAGTGCACCTGTCTAATATCCCTTGCACTTGTATACTGTTCCTGCCTGTCTTGTCCCCTGTACCTATTGCCTCTGTACCTGTCTACTGCCCCTGTATCTGTCTACTGCCCCTGCAACTGTGTTCTGTCTGATGCACCTGTCTACTGTCCCCTGCACCTCTCTCCTGTCCCCTGCACCTCTCTCCTGTCCCCTGCACCTCTCTACTGTCCCCTGCACCTCTCTACTGTCTCCTGCACCTTTCTACTCTCCTGCACCTGTATACTATCCCCTGCACATACCTACCTCCCCTCAAGGAAGGTTCCTTGACGCTGGTGAGGGGCTCTTGATCTAGGGAACTGGATCTGTGCTCCAGTTCCCTGAATTAACCCTGAATACCTTCCATCCCCCACAGGCTCTGTATAATCTTACGGGTTCAGCGCTTCCCCCTTGATTATAATAATAATAATAATAATAATAATAATAATAATAATGCACATACCTACTTTTCCCTGCACCTGTCTGTTGTCCCCTGCACGTGTCTACTCTGGCCTGTCCATGTCTAAGATCCCTTCACCCGTTAGAAGCACCTGTCCCATTCTGTCTCCTGCACCTGTCACGCATATAGATGCACTTGTCTCCTGCACCTACAGTACATCCTGCTTCATAAGTATACACATTCACTATTTTCATTGCAGAATGTACATTATTTATAAGTGATTTAAATAAAGATGATTACAGGTAAATCATTATGTTTGTACGAAGTAAGATTTATTATCCTCTATGTTATATGATATTCTGGTTACACTTTATGAGAGAAAAGCCAGAAAATTTTGACTTAATCAGGCGCTGAGGGAACTGTGATGAGAGACTGAACAAAATTGTCTTTAGTAGATCCATGGGAGACATGATCATGGCGTACAAGATACTTATCAGGTGGATTTGAGAGAGAAGATAGGAAGAGACTGAAATGCGAGGTATAGGGGACAGATGAAAGGTAAACGAGATAAACTACAAGAATGTTCAGAAACAGGTCTTGGGTGTTAAATATACAACTTCTTGTTCCTCCTGCAGTTAATATCTGAGCGGCGCTGGACATTCATAATTCTCTTCGCCGTGATAAAGAAAAATAAGATCTCAGGGCGGTGAGCACCTTGGAATGAGGTAAATAAAAAAAAATGTCATGGATGAAAATTTCTATACAAAGTTTCAAGTGTAGGTATGATAAGACCCATGAGGCCAGGATTCAATATTATATGTAACTTTGGTCTAAGAGGTAAGGCCAGGAGCTGAAACTCAACCCCAACAAACACAACTGGGTGAGTACACAAGAGACATGTAATATAAACACAACATATATCAAATTTAAAATATATATATACATTATATATTATATATATATATATATATTATATATATATATATATATATATATATATATATATATATATATATATATATATATATATATATATATATATATATGTTACTATGTATGAAAAAATTAAACTATAAAAATATACAAAATAAATATTAAAAAAAATAGGGAGTTAGGGAAAACTAGAAAAAAAAGGTGCAACATTGGTCAAAAAAAAAAATATCTCTGAAAGCTACTAAAAAAAAAATATCAATGTTAAATCTTGATGTTGACAGTAAAATTTAACCCAAAGTTGTAACACTGGTGTGGACACAATGTCTAATATCACCAGAAAATTAATTTTATATATATGAAATATTAATATAAGTTACCTTCATCTAATTCGAAAAGTGATTGTTTGATTTTTAGAAATAATTAATGTAGTAAAATAATATATAGTTGAGGACACCGGAGAACATCAGACGAATATCGAAAATTACACACCAGGACATTTTGAAAAATTATTATTATTATTATTATTATTATTATTATTATTATTATTATTATTATTATTATTATTATTATTATTATTTATTAAATAATAAGAGATAATAATAATTATTAAAACTAAGAATATTTAATAATAATAATTAACAATAATAATAATAATAATAATTTTTTAAAGAATAATAAAAATAATTGTAAGACTAGTGAAGGTTGTAAATTATATATTGTACTTGAGTTAAAATTAACACATTCAACTTGACTATATTGCGCTATGATAAATTAACTTTTGGGTTAAATCTTAGGTTATTCTAAGTTAAATCTTAGATTATCCTAAGTTAAATCTCAGGTTATCCTAAGTTAAATCTTAGATTATCCTAAGTTAAATCTCAGGTTATCCTAAGTTAAATCTTAGGTTATCCTAAGTTAAATCTCAGGTTATTCTAAGTTATATCTCAGGTTATCCTAAGTTAAATCTCAGGTTAACTTAAGTTAATCTCAGGTTATCCTGAGATGAATCTCAGGTTATCCTAAGTTAAATCTCAGGTTATCCTAAGTTAAATCTCAGGTTATCCTAAGTTAAATCTCAGGTTATCCTAAGTTAAATCTCAGGTTAACTTAAGTTAATCTCAGGT